GAGTTCTAGTTTCGAGAAATGTGTAGCCAATCAGCTTGCAGCTATTCCATAAAAGCTACAAGTTGATTGGCTACACTTTTCTCGGAACTAGAACTTGGACCAGGTTCTAGCATCGTGGACACAGGTCTATATAATAGGGGACTCCCTTTACTACTTTATTTACCTAACGAGACATGACGGAAACTCTTGCCTCACTTTTCAATTCGAAGGTAGCAGTCTAATAGTATAGAGAAGTCCGTGACACCTCAGATTTGCAATGTCGAATGCGACTGTATAGCCGTTTTATAGCTTCCGATCTACTCGCCGATCGATCATCGAGTCTATAAATCAGCACGGTCGATTATCCAATGTCACCGCCGTGAATAAACTCGCACGTAACTCGCGCGGTGACAGCAGGTGATCGCGAATGAAGAATTGCATAATTGGTATCCTCATAGAAGGGCATTCGTTCCCCGCGAATTCCCAAGAAGTCGCCCGTCATCGTTCATTTCTGTAAGCGCGTAATCCATTTGACATTTCTTCTTCCGCGATGACCGGAATAAATACACGCGTGTACACCGAAGAAAAAGAACATTCTTCTTTTGAAAGTATGTTTAGACTCAACGTGAAAATTTTAAAATGAGATTATATCGCGGTGAAGAAACGAAAACTTACTTGAATGAAGCAATTTTATATAATGCAGTGAAGAAAAATAGACGTTAAAAATAATTTTCTTGAATGGAAAGGAAACGATATTGGATGATATCATATTTACATCCCATAATAAGGGACTTCCCTCTACATAATTATTATATTTTAATAATTATTATTATTATAACTGCATATTGTAATAATCAGAGTTGAAAGAGTTGCTTTACAAAAGTCAGATGGAGTGAAAGTAACTAAGTTAATTAATAAACGAATAAAATAAACGAATCCTGGCTGGGGTAATATTTCTCGCAGTAAGAATTTTAATTGCCAGATACGGTCAATAAAAATCACTGATGTTATTAATTTATTAATTACTGCTGGCGACTTTAAGAATATTCTTACTAGTTTAACTAAGTTAAGTTTGAGTTTTACCAAAACAAGTAACTATACCTGTAACTTCGTTAGAATAACGAGTTACTTGCCAACCCTGGTAATAATATTATTGTTGCTTCGTGCGGCAGGGTTGCGTTAAAACAATTGTTTAAAATGCGAACCATAATGCTCCAAGCAAGTTCCTTTCAAAACTATTCGACATTTCAGCCCAAAAGAGTAGCCGGTATTTCATCTACATATTTTTTCGCGAACATTTTTACCATCCGTCCTGCTTCCTGATCCAGTTACGACGTTTGCCGCGAGGGGCGTTAACGCACGCGACGAATGATCGAAATTGCGGACCGAAGTACCGAACTGGCCGAGCGTCGTCGTTGTAGCACGTGGTTGCGCGTGTACGTATACATCGTGCGCTATGTCGACGTCGTCAAGCATGAGGAACAACGCGAGGAATGTCAAAGATAAGGGTCGGAAGGATAAGGGCGGCGATAGGGATAAGCCACGGGAAAAGAAGTTCGACAAGAAGAAGTATCGGCTACAAAAGTACAGCAATAAATACAAAAGTATGTGCAAGATATGCGCAACGAATAGGTTAAGTTTACAGTTTATTCAACACTTGGCCCTTTTCCGTTAGTTAATCAATGGGAGGAGAGAAGGAAGAAGGCCGTGCTACGCGGATTCTACAAGGAGCTCGGCAAGAGTCAGCAAATTTCCGGGGAGGCGTCGTTGGGTTCAAATTCCAAGAACGGAGACGAGGCGAGGTGCGTAAAGCGGAGCGGGTCGAAATCCGGGATTTCAGATTTGATATTGAACGACTGTGCTTGTGTGCTCGGACAGCGCTTCGCGGCACAAGGGCAGCGCCTTTTTCAAGGCTAAGCGGGAATACCGGCGGAAGCAGGAAGAGGCCAAGAAGCGGAGAGAGGACGCCGCTCGTGTAAAGGCCGAGCGAGAGGAGGCCCTGAGGAACTACAAGGAGAAGAGGATGCGTAATTTCAAGTTGTTGTCGAAGAAGACGAGCAAGGGACAGCCGGTCATGAAGGGCAGGGTAGAGATGCTGCTGGAGAGGATACAGCGAAATGTAGACTAACTTAAGACAGAGCGCTGGTCAGAGCGAATACAGCGCAATGTTTTCGCTTTTGCCTATGTGTATATATTTATTCATCCCTCCATTTGCGGGATTCTCTCTATACGCGGGTTTTTAACGCAGTCTTTTCCATATGCAGTCCCAGTTTTACGCGGTCTCGCTTTATACGGTTGGAAAATGAAGCTAAAGTAGAAGCGCCAAATATTTCTATCCGGTCTTTGAACCGATTTTTCGCGAGTACTAGTGTGGAGCTGAACTTCCATTTCGTCTTTGGGTCACCTGACGCAGCATGGAAAGAGCTACGTGAACGAATATTCTAAATCGCGGGATGAATGTATGTTGTATGTTATGCAGCGACATGCAGAAAATATTGCAGCGATGGCAACGTTTTCTGCAAACTTCAAGTTTGCGTCACGCGAGATTGCCTCCGAACTCGTCGTGTTATCACTGTACATTTTATGTAACTGTATGCAATGTACGGAAGACGACGCAGTCGCACGTTTTCAAATTCTAACGAAATAGAATAGCGAAAATAAAAACTGACAGAAAGATGGTGTTATTCTTCGAACCTCGGAATGACAACAGTTTTATGAAGTACGAGTTGCAGTCGCAGTTCCTATACACGGAAAACCATCGCCTAGCAACGAGACGAAAGGGCGCTTATCTCTCGCGCCTAGAGAACATCCGCCGTCCGCGCCAGCGAACTGAGCGAACGCAAACGCGGCTGATCGGGAAAGGGGGATAATTTTGTTTTCGCCGAGCGAATCGATCCCTATCGACGCCGCAACCTTTCGCATTGGAATCGCGGCGCGCGGACGAGAGAGAGAGAGAGAGAGAGCGGAGAAGCGGCGGGCTGGCCTGGCGCTGGCTCTCTCGAGCCGGCGTGCGTGTGTGCCCTTTCGCGGCGCGATCAATCGCGGGGCGACCGCTGCGCCGCGCCGCGCCGCGGCGACGTGCGGCGTTCGAAATACGAAATTCCACGCGCCAGCGTGGATCGCGCGCGTGCGCGCTGGCATTTTCGACGGGCGGCCGTGTCGCTCGTCGGCCGCGCGACGGACGACGGGGGACGGACGGGGACGGGGCCAGTCGACGGTTGCAAATGGCGACAGCCACGAAGTCTCTGGCACGGGCTCGCGACTAGTTCCACGCCTACCGTGCGCCCCGCGAGCGAGCCGTGCGCGAACGCAGCCCCAGCGCGCCCAGATCGGTATGTAAAGTCCCCAAGCTCGGTAGAAGCTCCCGGCGACGCGGCGCTGCGTCGCCCCCGGGAGTCCCCCGGCGAGCGCTCCAGTGCACCGCCGCGCGCGACAGCTCGGGCGACGAAGGGCACCCGCGCCGAGGGTGCCCGCGCCTTCCTCGCCTCCCTGCGACCCACGGAGCCGCCTGCTCCGTTTCTGGCTCCGCTCCGCGATCGATACGCGCGATCGTCCCTGCCGACGTCGTGCGATCCGCGTACGCGTTCTCCTCCTCCTCCTCCCCCCCCGCCCCGTTCCCACCGCCCCCCGTCGCTAGCCGGGACGGGATCCCTCCGGGTCGTGTGCGCGCCGCTGTCAAGTTATCACCCGCGCCGGCTCTCGCCGACTCCTGGAGCGGACTCGTCGCCCGAACGCCCCGCGGCCTCCCCCGGCGGCTGAACTTTACACTCCGCTCGGCGCCGCGTACCGCCCGTACTCCGTTTCCCCGACAGCGCCGCCGAGGCCGGGGAGAGAAAGAGAGAAAGAGAGAGAGAGAGAGAGAGAGAGAGAGTGGCCGCGGAGGGGAAGCGGAGAATTAGTTTTGTTAAAAGATTGTAAAAGACGCGGCAGGCACGCACGCACGGACGGACGCGGCGATAGCGACGGTGGCAGGGACCCGCGCGCGCGTCCCCGCCGTTGCGTCACGTCGTTTTTAGTGAGCGAAACAAATACCAATTACAGTATATCTGCGCCGGAGCGCGATCTCTAAAGCGTCTCAGATTGGAGGGGAATGAACGTCCGAGTGTCCTCACAAGCTCTCTCGCTCTCATTCGCAGGTAGTCTTGAGCGAGACGAGGCAAGATGCCGGCCGTCAGAGGAGATGGTATGCGTGGACTGGCGGTATTCATATCGGACATCAGGAACTGTGAGTAACGTCGCTGGCCGGTGCGCCGCCTTTCTTTCGCTTCTTTTTTCCTTCCCCGTCCCCCGCCGGCCCCCCCACGGCGACGTGTCCTACGAGTTTTTCTACTTTATTAATCGCCGCCGTTATGTAATGCCGGCGTTTCTTCCGCGGCTCCGGTTCCTCCTCGCGGAACGCCGCCGCTCCCTCCCCGCGCGCCCGGCGTTGTCAACGACATTTCTCATTCACTCGCGCGATAATGTGCCATTGAAACTGACGCCAGTGCGTGCGACGGGTTCGACACTGCCGAGGAGCAGGAGAAAGGGGGCGGTGTTCTGATACAGGCCTATCTTCTTGATACAGGCCCGGCTCTCAATATCAATCTGCGGCACGTTGGCGGCGTTAGTTGAAAAATTTTATTTAAAAAAAATGAGCGTCTTCGTAATTGACGGCCGGGCGTGCGGTTTTGCGCACAATTATGCGTATTGTTTATTTATAACTGTCCCCGCGTCCCTCAGATAAGGGGTTCGAGCCAGTTGGCAATTGCTCTTGGTTCATTCAGACTCTCCTGCCGACGTATTATTTCTGATTGTCAGCGATTAAAAATCCACTGATGTTAACAGCGAGAGTGCACCGCGGTGCGTTCATTCGCTTCGGGTCGAATCGCCGAAAAGCATCTACGTTTATAAACGATCGAGTGATTCTGCTCCATCCCCCAATTGTTGCGAATTAACGCACCGTACAAAGCAATGTACCGCGGCAGAAAACTTTTGTTATTTTAACGTACGTTTTTGCTTATACGACAAGGGATGCATTTTTATGGTATTTGCGATTGCGAGAGGTAGATACTGCCTTGTCCGTTTAAAAATCTTATACCGGTGTTACCAGGCAAAAGTAAAGAGGCAGAGGTCAAGAGAATTAACAAGGAACTGGCAAACATACGCAGCAAGTTTAAAGGGGACAAGACGCTCGATGGATACCAGAAGAAGAAGTATGTTTGCAAGCTGCTGTTCATCTTCCTTCTCGGCCACGATATCGACTTCGGACATATGGAAGCGGTCAATCTACTTTCATCGAACAAGTATTCGGAAAAGCAAATTGTAAGTACGACCGTTGGAGTCGCCTTACGAGACGTGTAGTAATTACACGCTACCTGTGTCGTACAATTCCAGGGATATCTCTTCATATCGGTCCTAGTGAACACCAACAGCGATCTGATCAAGTTAATCATCCAGAGTATAAAGAATGATCTCGCCTCGCGCAATCCGATTCACGTTAATCTGGCCCTGCAGTGCATCGCGAACATCGGCAGCAAGGAGATGGCGGAGGCCTTCGGCAATGAAATTCCAAAGCTGCTCGTCTCAGGGTACGACGTATATAATGTATTTGCTGCTACGTGCGGCCCGCGTCGAGGCCTGTGTCCGCTTGGCCCCGAGTTCTAGCATCGTGGACACAGGCCTTCGTACTTGTCGCACAGTCTTGAAATGTCCCGTTCCGCAGAGATACCATGGACGTCGTGAAACAGAGTGCCGCGCTGTGTCTGCTACGGCTGTTACGGACAGCTCCCGATGTCGTACCTGGCGGCGAATGGACGTCGCGTATAGTTCATCTGCTGAACGACCAACATCTGGGCGTCGTGACGGCCGCGGCGTCGCTCATAGACGCTCTCGTAAAGAGAAATCCCGACGAGTACAAGGGCTGCGTCAGTCTTGCAGTTTCGAGATTGAGTAGGGTACGTTTAAGCGCGTGCGATTAGATCGCGCAGCAATAAGACTGTTATCTGACAGTGATTCCGCGATTGCAGATTGTTACATCGAGTTACACAGATCTGCAGGATTACACATATTACTTTGTACCGGCCCCGTGGTTATCCGTCAAGCTGTTACGTTTGCTGCAGAACTATACACCGCCAGGTAACTAATTCATATGTGCAATATCGATGTACCACACAATATATTGTATAATATATTTATATGAAATCTATATTTGGATCTACTATCGCAGCCGAAGATCCAGGTGTGAGAGGCAGATTAAACGAGTGTCTAGAAACAATATTAAACAAAGCTCAAGAACCACCAAAGTCGAAGAAGGTCCAGCACTCGAACGCGAAGAATGCTGTACTCTTTGAAGCCATTAGTTTAATTATCCACAACGATAGCGAGCCGAACCTCCTTGTACGGGCATGCAACCAGCTCGGGCAATTTTTATCGAATCGTGAGACCAATTTGCGATACCTGGCACTCGAGTCCATGTGCCACTTGGCTACTTCGGAATTCTCGCACGAAGCCGTAAAGAAACACCAAGAAGTAGTGATATTATCCATGAAGATGGAGAAGGACGTTTCTGTGAGGCAGCAAGCAGTAGATCTGCTGTACGCAATGTGTGATAAAAGCAATGCCGAGGAGATTGTTCAGGAAATGCTGAACTATTTGGAAACAGCCGACTACTCGATTAGAGAAGAGATGGTCCTTAAAGTAGCGATTCTAGCGGAAAAATACGCGACTGACTACACTTGGTATGTCGACGTTATCCTAAACCTGATTAGGATAGCGGGCGACTACGTCTCCGAGGAAGTTTGGTATCGGGTTATTCAAATAGTTATTAATCGGGACGACGTTCAGGGTTACGCTGCGAAAACCGTCTTCGAGGTAAAATATGTCAATTTTTTCCCCCCCTTGTTAAAATTATTGCATGTTCTACATATATCCTATGCTTTACAGGCACTGCAAGCACCTGCTTGTCACGAAAATATGGTTAAAGTCGGTGGTTATATACTTGGAGAGTTCGGTAATCTCATAGCTGGTGACCAGCGGTCTTCTCCAGCTGTTCAGTTTCAACTATTACATTCCAAAGTAAGTACCTTTTCCATTCGCAAGAAAAGTGTGTACCACACCGAAAATATATTACAAATCTGTCTCTTGCAGTATCATTTATGCTCTCCTATGACTCGAGCATTGCTGCTTTCGACGTACATAAAGTTTGTCAATCTGTTCCCTGAAATACGAAGCCAGATACAAGACGTCTTCAGGCAGCACAGTAATCTACGTAGCGCGGACGCTGAGTTGCAACAGAGAGCATCGGAATATTTACAATTGAGCATTATCGCTTCAAACGACGTCCTGGTACGTAATGTGCGACGACTGAAAAATATGAGCCTCGCGTCATTGACATGTCTGCTCCCGTAGGCCACCGTGTTGGAAGAAATGCCGGCGTTCCCCGAAAGAGAATCCTCTATCCTCGCAGTTTTAAAGAAAAAGAAACCGGGTCGAGTACCGGAGAACGAAATTAGGGAGAACAAGAGCCCAGCGCCGAACGCTAATCATCATGCTGAGCCTCCCGCCACTGTTGCAACCGTGACAGTTAACAATTCTTCTGCTGATCTACTAGGGTTGTCGACTCCACCTTCGTCTCAACCGTCTAGCAATACAGGCGTGTTGCTCGATGTTCTGGGAGATATTTATAACATGCCAAATAAACTTGGTGCTACCAACGGCACCCAAAATACATACAATCCGAAAAAGTAAGACACGTTATCAGAGATCAAACATTTTTCCGTAAGATATCAATATTAAAATGTTGTAATAATTAATTATTATTCAAATTATCTTTTCCAGGTTTGTCTGCAAAAATAATGGTGTCTTGTTTGAAAATGACTTGATACAAATCGGCGTAAAATCAGAGTTTAGACAAAATCTTGGACGCGTAGGTCTTTTTTATGGAAACAAGACGCAACACGCATTGCACAGTTTTCAACCACAATTGTCTTGGACAGACGAGAATCAAGCGAAACTAGCTGTACAAGTCAAACCTGTTGATCCTATATTGGAAGCTGGCGCTCAGATTCAGCAAATGATCAATGGAGAATGTATTGATGATTATAACGGTGCGTTGCTTTGACATTTTTTTGCAAATATTTAACAGTTAACATCTGAACATCTTTCATTACGTGTGATATCTCTTACAGATACGCCGAGTATGATTATCTCCTTCATTTACAACAATGTGCCACAGAAGATCACGATGAAGTTACCATTAACAATTAATAAGTTCTTCGAACCGACAGAGATGAATGGAGAATCATTCTTTGCAAGATGGAAAAATCTTGGCGGGTACGTGACATAAACGAACCGCGTTTGAAATTGATTCGAATAGTTCCAGATCGGCTTATCGTGCATTGAATTTATTTTTCAGAACGAATCAACAACGATCGCAGAAGATTTTCAAAGCGCAGCAACCGATGGATCTAACGCAAGTACGCACGAAACTACAAGGATTTGGAATGCAATTGCTCGATGGTATCGACCCGAATCCCGATAACTTTGTCTGCGCCGGTATCGTTCATATGAGAGCGCAGCAAGTGGGTTGCCTGTTGCGCCTTGAACCTAATAAACAAGCCCAGGTAATTCGTCAAGCTTTCGAGAGATTCGATATCGTAATAAGCGTGTCTTTATTTAACTGCGTATTCTTATTTTGCAGATGTTTCGTTTAACAGTACGTTCGAGTAAAGAATCGATGTCGGTAGAGATCTGTGACCTGCTGGTGGACCAATTTTAAACGGCCTAGCAGGCGTAAATATTATATCGAGAAATTAGCATTACGTCGTGAGAGGACATATCATTATCGAACGATGATGTCATCTCGCGTCGTTCAAAAAGATACTGATGGTTATTTGTTAAGAAATCTTTGCGTTGTACCCAAGCTTACACTCATAACGCTCTTGTATAAGATCTATATCTCCGTGTAGGTAGTTTCGTGTCATTGTATATCATTTTATCGAAGAGGCATAAGTTTGAATCAGGACTATCGAAATCAGGTACAGAAGGAAAGAGGGGATGTATATGAACTGGCTATGACAGACAGTATTATCTCATAATTGAGGATACTAAGGTGTGGATCTACTTTGAATGCGTCTACATCTTACATTACAATTTACAATTTAAGCGAATGAAGCAAGAATGCGATATAGAGAAGGGGAATGTAAAGCTAGATATTTTAGTTACGGATAATGTACGTACTGTAGAAACACTCGAGCCGAATCATAGAATCAAAGCGAGTAAGAGTTTTCTTTTTTTTACTGAGTTTTATAACACAAGTTGCTCCCTCCGTATCGTTACAATTTGTATAGTTTTTAAACATCGATTGAGCTTTGTTCGTTGAGAGTGGAACATCTCTCTTTGCACATCATTTTATTTTCTATCGTTTTGTACCTACGCGTCGTGAGTTCTGTTCGTATTCATGCATTGCTCGCATCGATATTTTGCCATGAGATTGCCGCGTGAGCGAGCGTAGATTTGGGCACAATGACAGTAGTTGTATAATATGAGCTGTTTAACTATAGATATCCCTATATTTAACGGAGCTGCGAATTCATTGTGTATAATTAATAGTTTATATTTAATTGTCTCTGTCCCAATCTTGATTTGGAAGAATGTCCTACATTTTCTATCATTGATATTGATGTATAAATCCATGGCTGGTCATTTCTACGTTTGGAATATGTGATGTGGAGGTATATATCGTATTAGTAAATCATTAATTGAAATCTAAAATCTGTTTTGCAAGTTAACTATTTGTATCTGTAGAATTACGTTTTATTATCTTCAGAGTCTTGCGTAAGATGTATATTTCAGTAGAGTGTACAACTCTCTGTACAGATAATATTTACTAATGTGTTGAAGTTTTGTGGAAATGCATTTTATAATAATAACAGCGGGAAGAGCAGCTCTAAATATGATTTAAATATTGCTTTACGACGATCGACGATACGTTATCGATTTTGTAGGGCTTTACACAATTGTACATATGAAATTGATCACAAATGGCTATAAAGATTTTCAGGATAGATTGCGCTAATTCGTAGCCATAAAAGCTCAAATTTCTTTCTTATTCTTCAATTATGCTTTACTTTTCAGGGAAGTAAGATGTATATTTTTCATATTCATGTAGTGTGTAAATCCATGTTCCCATTATACTCCTTTTCTCTCAGAACTTAGATTATCGTATATTAGATGTATTTTAATTACAGTATATACAGGTCGAGAGAACACGGCTCTATCAGTTTTTTTACGACTTGATTTATCGCATAATGAGATTTTATTATTATTATTACCTTTCTCTTTTTTCTAATGTTATTTTACGATACACGATAGGATATTTTATTGTTAGGTGTATGATTACAATTGTTAAATCATAAGCAATGTGAAACGAAATATCGGCGTTTTATATTCTCACTCCTCTCGTTCTCATAAAACAATATTTCAGAGATTGTTAATATAATATTAAATTACGTATAAATTGCTGTAAAATATTAATACTTTTAATATATTGGTACTCTAATATATAATCCAAATTAAAATTGTAATCTATAAATTATTATAGAGAAAGAGAGAGAGAGACAGACAAAGAATTTGCTGTGCTATATCATTATAGATTTTTCTTAAATATTATTAAATGTAATATATGCAAAATTTATGTATAGATAATTTGTGTATTTTATATATTTGAATTTATGATGATATTTAAATCGCGATCTTCTTTTAGTCGTTCGATAATTAAGGTACGAATCAAAATTACATGAAATTTACTTTTAAACAGGAAAAATTACTAGAAAGAATAGAGAAATGTTTGTTTTTCCACACAGCCGTCGTATATATGTCGAGACATTAATCTCAGCGTTTCACAAGTCTAAACATTCCTTCGTGATAGTTTTCTTGTCCAAGGTTCATGAAATACCACAAAACTGTGATCTTCGATGTTTCTTATCCTCAAATCTTTTTCCTAATAAGAAATTCTTAATGGACCGAGAGACAGAAAGATGACGAGAAGAGATTGAAAGTGTGGAGCTTCTTACATCTGCAGAAATTTTTAAGTGTAATTTGAAATAAAGAATATATTGTTAATATATTATTATTTCACATTATATACAATTTGTATATGAAATACACTTTAAAATGTCTACGTGCATGAATTTCTCTCTCTCTGTCCAAACTATACATTAAGAACATGTTGTAATTTCTATTGATTTCCTGCCTGCGATAATCGACTTTTATTAACGAATTTCGTGATTCATACAAGTTTTTATATGTCGTTTTACCGAGCTTTATTCTTCCGAATTTTATGCGTCTAAAAGCGTTGCGAAGATTGATTGACGTGGACCCTCGACCAATTATTGACCACCAGTCATGGATTTTGCGAGGAAGTTTGATAACATTAGTTTTAGAAAAAGACAGTCAACGATATTTATGATAATGATATCCCCCCCCCCCTCATTCGTATTATTATATAGAGCCCGCGTTTATTATATAGAGATGAGAATCGTGTTGCGCTTAGATTTAAAGGGCCCACGCGTGATCCAACGATTTACGTAGCAAAAGACTATTGCACAAATCAAGCTCGTGCTATACGTAAAATTAAATACACTAGAGAAATATCACGCGAAATTTATGCAGATCGATAGATCGTGCGCGGGCCGTTTCACATTCAAATGAAAGTTGCGTTAATATATATATATAATATACATACCTTTATATTATATATAAATACAAGAATTATATATATATATATATTAAGAGAAATGTGTGGCGACACACAGTTGTTAGATTATCACGCGGCGATGCCCCAATCTGCTGACGATCGGGGCCGTCGACGTCGGTACGATTCGATATTTGACTATAACACGTGCCGAATATCCGAATAACTCGAATACCTCGAATGTCCATCCGTGCGACTCGTTGTTACCCGTTAGAATTCCTCGGTCAGCCGAAATACTCGCAGGGTCGCGCGAAGCAACGTAATATGAGACACTCTTCCTACGGTCTGTCGCGTTTCGCATCTCGCATTAGAGCCTATATCTCACCTTCTGCTTTAGGATTATTTATGAAACGTCGGGACGTTCTAATATTCGGATGTTCGAACGTGCAGTCCTAAAAAATACTCGTCTGTTCGCGCGAGATAAATTAAAGAGAAAAAAAAAATAAAAAAAAAAGAGTGTGTATGTGACCGCGTTGCGCGGAGGTGTCTACCTTCTCGCGCCGTCGTTCTGTGTCGTTGTCTCCTTTTCATTGCGGTCTAATCGTGTACAGATTTAATGTAGAAATTTAGACCTACCGCGAGCAACTGCCGAGATGGGTTGACGAGCGCGAAGAGGGAGGAAGCGCCGGGCCGGGCGAGTCGCGGACCGGATTTTCGGCTACGATCGCACGCGCCGGCCCGCTCGCGCTTGCACGAACGAGCGTATTGTATGATAATACCATAGCAGGATTGCGACTTTCGTCCCTTTGTAATTAACGGTGCTCGTCGTATTTATTTCCTCGTGTAGCGTATGCATATATGGGTGTTGCCTCGCGTGGTTTTTGACCGTCGTGACCTCGAGGTCAGAATTAAAGTTAACGAGCGTACATTGGTCTTGATCTCCAGCTGCGATTATACTTGTTTTACGTTACTCTCCTCCCGGCGCGCAGCGACCTTTCGTAGGACTTTTCGTTCTAGTTACGCACGTGGCACATCGTTCGAATACACGTTATTTCTTTTCTTACGCACACATAGGTATATGCACATATTACGAATTCGCCGTTCGATTTAATATCCATTCGAATTCCGAGGGGAAACTTCACGGGAGTTTCGAAGTACACCGTAGTTTCTACATTCAATCTTTACGCGAGAACAGCGTTTAGTCCCGTAGCGTGCGTTCGTTTTCGCCCTTCTTTCTCTATCTTCCGAGTACCGCCCTAGCCGATTCCTACGCAGAATAAATCGTGCAAGCGTTCTTTCCCCGGATCACCGATTTATTTTGTATCGTTTAGCTTTGTATGTACACGTACGTTTATAAGACATTATTGATTTATATCATAAAATAATATATATACATAAATATTATCTCTCATACAAAAATGTGCCTACTTTCTTGTCCCACGACAACAGGTTTCCCCGTTTTCCAAGTTCAATCACACCTGTGTGTGATTAAACGGCTCGTTTCACTTCAATTAACGTACAAATTCTCACAAGACGTGCCGAATGTTGATTTATTGTAACCTTTAAGCCTAATCTACTATGTGCTCTCTGCATCTAGAAACCTTCTATTTTACATAGACAAATCGAAACGCTCAAAAAATTTGCAGACAATGCACGATTGTACGGTGTCTAATGTATCACCTTAAAAAACAACCTTTTTATAAAAAAAAGGATTAAAAAAGACGCCAAGTATAAGCGCCATCAAATCAAGAATTATATAATTTAATTATTTGGATATATTTTGTTAGAAAAAAAATGGTATTGCCTCTACAAAAGTAATGATATCGTCAAGTTGCGCCAACTAAAATGGATATTTGTACGAACTAGATACTTAATTATTTTTGATATTAAAATTGTATAATCCTCCTGCGCCAATTTTTCAAACGTATTGGCTGCAAAATAGAACGTTTTTAGACGCAAAGAGCACATTGTAAATAAGGCTTTATAACTAAACTACCGCGAAAACATATTTTTTATTTAGAAGGCAGAAAAGGGAGACCAGGAAAGACACTTGTCTCGTCGGGAAAGCGTTCTGAAAGCCAGGGACGCATAACGAATTGGAACTGGGGCTAATTATAAAGGTACGAGCAATCGTGTGAGCCATTTGTCACGAAACTGCGCTTTCACATTCGATAATTAACTGTCTCGTGTATGAAAATTCATTCTACGACAAAATATCGGAACGATATGATAAACGAAGTGAAAACGATATTCGAGTAGCGTTGAGCTACGGTATATTTACAACGTATTCTTAAAAATACTTTTTACAATACTAAAAATAAATTAATGGTACTATTCGATACACTTTTCTAGCGCTAAAATTCGCCACTGGCCGGCCTGTTTGGCCACAATTATTCTGGCTGGTTTAATTATTAGTCCGTTGACAATGCCATTTGCAGATATATGAAACATTAAACGATTCGGGAGACGCACTGACGCATTTGACACGAAATATTTTATCAGTAATGGGCACCGTCGCTGTTAACGTAACATTAATATACTTTGCAGTCTTATCTCGCACGCGTAATATTCACGAGGACTCTACGCAGTAATATAAAAAATCTTCCGGACTTACGTCCATTTCTACCAACGCAGATTAACTTTAATCTCGGTTTAACTTACTTTTTATCTCCTCTTTTCTAGTTTTAAAAATTAGAAAAGGATAAAAAAAACTCGGTTAAACCGGGATTAAAATTAATCTGCATTGGTGGAAGAGGACATTAGGCTATGAAAAATGTTGGGCATGCCTTATTTACAATTGGCTTTCATCCCTCGCGAGGTAGCTCCTTTGTGACTTGATACAGAATGCCCAGCGTTTCAACTGTGCTTCAAACGCTCTCTGGCAGTCTCCTTTTCCGTAGCGCGTCAAGCATCTGCGATTCGGCCTTGATCTTTTGTGCCGCCTTGGAGCGTCGCAGTTTGAGCTTCAGTTATATTTTTGGGAAATCACAATGGACTAAATCTGGCGAATGTGGAGCACGCGGGTCGACCGATTGCATGTCGTTGCAAAAAATTATTGTGTTTTCAGGAACAGGGAATGAGCTTGGCAGAGACGTGACGCATGTTCAAATCGTTAGTGATCTCACGAACTATGCGATCTTCACTAACGATTTGAACATGCGCGGCCGTCCTGGGTGCTCGTCGTCTTCGATGACGTTCAAAACGCTCGACGCTCAGTCTGTTTTTCAAGCGTGAATGTCACTCGAAACGTTGTGTTTCGCAATGCAGATTGCTCAAAGTTTCGTCATTGAAAGCCTAACGAAGTATTTCGAGACCGATTTTCCGAGCTCCACGGGAGTTTCGAGTGTCGGGATCGAAGCCCAATTGCAGACGGTCGACGCGTTACGGAAAAAGGACTTGCAAACGTTTGAAGCATAGTTGAAGTCGAGTCACAAGGGGACTTCGAAAAGGAATAGATGTAAATAGAGCGAGTCCAAAATGTTTTACAGACTAATTGTAAGTCTGGGGAATTTTCGATACTACGGTACATGAATTCAAGTTGAGACTGCTGTCAAATAAGCACGAATATCGCAGAAAGAACGGGAGAAATGATGCGTGCTATTACGGAGGTGTCTGTAAAATATTAGGAATATCCAGGGTTGGAAAGGTTACTGTATAAAAGTGTCTAGTTACAGTTTTTTCGCTAAACATGTAACTATAAGTTACAGTTACAGGTTACTAATTCTGTAACACGTTACTCGAAAGTAACGAATCGTTACTTTGCAGTTACTTTCTTGCAATGAAAATAAAAATTTCAAATCTGCATTTGAACTGTAAAGCGTCGATAAAGACGTAAATGCAAGACCTGATGCGATCTGCGAAGATTTAAAATATACATAACTATTAATGTAACTATTAATGTAACTATATTAAATTAGTTACTAGTTATCGAAAAAATGTAACCGAGTTACAGTTACAGTTACAGACGGAGAGAAAGTAACGAAGTTAGGTCAGAGTTGATAAAAGAAATAACTGTAACTGTAACTTCGTTACAAGCGACGAGTCACTTGCCAACCCTGGGAATATCTCATACACGTACCGGACGATATTAACCTCCCTTTGATTTATAATTAGTCTTTAACTTAAAGTATTACGCTGCTATACGCTAGATGAATCGCACGTGATGTTACATATGGCTAAAACGTGAGAATGAAAAAAGAAATGGGCGGGAGAGACAGAAATCCATCGATTTCTATTTTCGTCAGTATCTCCGACGTTCTCGTTTTGGAAGGAGAGAAATAAATTCGGTGTCACGGTGACTTCGTAGCGTCGAGATATTGCCGACGTGATATTATTTGGCGAGATCAATTGAGGACACATCGGGGAGAGACTTTCACCTCGAATATGTTGCATTTAGAACGATCTCATTTATCGATACAGGGTACCTATCGTGGAAATGTACGGATCCCGATCAGAATTGTTCAGTTTTCCCTAGAAAACGCAGTAGAAATCTAGGTAATAGCTGAACAATTCCGATCAGAATCAATTCCTAACATGATAGGTACCCTGACCTGTTTTTTTTTTTCTTTACTCGTTGCACCCGTCAATTTCGCAAGTGGTCCTTTCGGTTAAGAGAAGTTACGCGCAAACTAAAAATCCAGATCCATTGCCGGAACCAGAACGTGCACTTCGTTGGATATGTGCGTCATATTCGCCTCACGATAAATCGCGATATAAAATGGTAAACAGAATTACGTGTAAATAATGTCAAAAATCGATCATATCTCGCAGTGCAAACGTTACGTTCCAGCTCGGCGATATCTCTGGCTTGTCCGCATGTATGATTCAAAGCGCTGATCAATTATGAGGTGGAAGGTTGAATTCGTAATCACGGAGACCAGATTATTTTCAGACGACATAACATTTAAGAGCTTAATCGACTTGACGTCCGCTAATATCGATCATACTACATAATTTCGAGCGGAAAGATCGCGCCGAATTTACAAGTATTCCAGTATATTGATTAATTAATTATATAGTGCACGCGCACATCTGTTGTCAGTCATAGCGATAATAACCGGAATAATCGGTATAGATGCAATAATCATATATCGTTTTCACGCGTAAGTTTCCGCGGAGCCACGTCGAGAAGATGATGGCGTGTAAAAATTTCGTTGTATTCCGCGAATCTACGGTGAAGCTACAGATAACAGCTACTGACACATCTACCTGTAATACAACTTGCGACGCGGACCTAATTATTAAAAATGCAACAGTCTATTCGCATTCAGGAGAGGGATTTATTTGGCGGAAAGTCCTCTATTATGAGATAGGCTCCTAATACGAGACAGCGGAGTTTCCGCTTAAGTACACAGTTGGAAAAATGGTGTTTTCTTGATGAGAAAAGTCCCGGTTAAAATTTTTGACATGACACAGCATACACACATACGTACACGCATACAAACATACCTGTTAAGTTAACTTTCGTACTCTAGCTGGAGTTAGACTTTAATACTTTCTCGTATTCAAAAGTACACACGATTGGTTATATAAGGAACAGAACATATGTATGTACATAACTGTAACGTGTTAACTGTAATATTGGATTATTAATTTTTGAAAGGTGAGGCTTGGTAAGGAATGTAAGCCTGCCCACCAATAAATTAAAACAAACCTAACTTATCGTCAAGCGAAAATGATCGAGCCGGTGAACTCTAGAGTCTGGCCAACAGGCCAGTTTCGGCAAAATGATGCGAGAGAAAGAAAAAATATATTCCTTTTCACTCTACATACAGCATATGCGTCATTTGGCATTTGAAATGTGAAGTGTCGATAAAGGTGTTTATACGCGAATGCAAGGTCTGATGCGACCTGTTTCTTACATCTGTATAATGTAAAAATTACTTTTTTAAATTCATTTTGCCATTAAAAAAATATGTTAACTTTACACAAAATTTATTTCAAATTATTTTGAGATTTGCATTTATTTTGTGTTCAAATATTATCAGAGTATTAGTGTGATCATTTAACATATCCATATTATGTTAAATAACACAAAAATTTGTGTGGACCGTTTGGGACATGTGATATGTGTTAAATTTAACACAAATTTTTCAACTGTGCAGGCATCATCTGTTGGTTCCACCATGAATTTATTGCCCTAGAGTGAAATCTCTGTTTGGTGGAAAATAGATCGTTAGATCGTGTAATCGTTGTGCAAAAAGTTTTGCGATTGAATTTGGACGTTGAAGACCTACTATCTCGTATTAAAATCCTATCTCATAATATGAGACTGTCCTCTATATGCAAATATATTTAGCGGGGAAGGGTGAGAGAGTATTTTCCATCTCTTTATCGCATGCAATGTATGTAATCGACACGAACAATTGGGATTCTAACGAATATTCCCACATTTGCGCTCGTGCCAAAGTCGTACGCGAAAGCTTTAATCCTCTTAAGCGCTAATTGACTAGCATTGAAAGGTCAATGTCGAACATTACCCAGATAGCACGGAGAGAATCCAAAAAGGATTTCTTACGAAATTCTTTCCCGAAATTGTAAGTAATTTCCATCCCACTTCTGTATACTAAAAACGTTCGCAAGGATTGAAAAAGAACTCGCTTTTGTGTCACCAATTCCGAACGATTTTTCATACAAACACAAAAGGAACTCTTCGTACGTGGAACAACCTCAATTTCACTTCCAAAAGGAGTCAAAAGGTATAACTTCTATGGAATCTTTTCTTAAGTACCGGAAAGAAATTCTTTCAAGTTCTTTCTTTACGAATTAGTATAATCTGTCGTTTCGAAATTATTACAATCTGTTTGAAAAAGAGCAGATTGCACCAATTCATAAAGATTACAAAAAATTCTTTTCGAGTCCACGCACTCAACGAAGTTGTGCTATTTGGGTATTCTCGTCTAATCCTATTACGGGTCTGCCGAATTGTCTTTTTAACTTCTACATGAGCCATTAATTTTTCTGGTAAATGAACAGTTTCGCGAATTTTGCAGCACAATCGCGGAGAAAGCTTTGATACCACCTTTCCCGGCCGACGGACAGAAATGCGTCGGAGCATTTTGTTGTTGTTCGGGATTAATGTTGCGACGGTGATTGAACCCTCTGCAGAACTTCCGACCCGGCGGCCGCCTTGTCCCTGAGGACGGCCTCCACGTCTTTCTCTAGTACCTCCTCCCTGTCGTACAGCTGGAAGCGGTAGGCCGGCTCGTTGACCAGCACGCTCTCCTCGGCGGTGCTCCGCGCGTCCTCCGGCGCGAGGAAGAATTTCGCGCGGCCCTCGCATTTGCGCCGATAGTCCGGATTGTCCGCTGCGGGACGATGGCAGGAGTCGCAGACGGTGTCGGAGCGCGAGGTGCACGGATGGGCCTCGTATAGTCCCGGGCCGCATCTGGCGCAGTTCCAGCAGGGCTGCGTGCTGTGATGCGGGCTGTACGTGCCGGCGGGGCAGCGTTCGCACACGGTGTCGCGGCCGCGAGCGCAACGGCTAATCACGCCCCAGCCTGGACCGCATCTGCTGCAGTGCGAGCCGTCCCGGTGGTGCCTGATGTGAGGCCTGCTCTCGGCCGCCTGGAAACGCAGAGCGGCAGATGGTTAGTGCCCTCGGGAGGAGGGTCCACGAGACGTAGCGATCTTTCGGGATCCTCGAAATCATTTGAAAGCGGGCTTGCAATGATCGATCCGCAACAGCTAATAGAATCCTCGAATTTTACATTTGATAATTAAAAGTTACGTCTATAGTTGCGCGCGGTTCCATCGGGTGGCGTAAGGTTTTTAAAGACGACCGTGTGCCTCGCGAATGTATCGTATTAGGATTACGAATCATCGGTCTCGTTTACTACATTATTTTCCTACTCCTTTCGATATGAACTGATAAAATGCAAGTTCAACCGTCGGACAACAGGTGCACCGGGAGAAGGTGGCCACCTGACTTGGAGGGAACACCTTGCGCCTTTCTTCCGCCTACTTCGGGCAGATCGCGATACGCGATATACGAGCCTCCGTACTCTCTCACGCATAAAATACCGCTTTTAATACGTTAGGATATCCGCTACACTTTCGCCGACTAATTTTCCCGAAATAAGTGAAACCCGATCGATTACCGATCCGTAGACTCTCTCGGTTCGAGACTCCCCAAGTATCGAGCAATATTATTGCAACGTATTTTAATTGACTATTTAGGACGTATCTTCTTCTTCTTCTTTTTTATACGGCACCTGTCTTCTTTAGAAGAACAGTACGGCCCGGAATACATTTACTAACGTATGTAAATATACACCTTTAATAGATCAATACTACCCACTACACAGTAAAAAATAAAATGTTAATTAATTTTACATTGAAGTAAGAATCAAATCTTGGTAACACAAGAAAATTTTAACATTTGAACACACGATTTTTTACTGTGTATAACAATTGTACTTTTACGTGTAATTTTTTACAGTGTACGAGGGTGTAAGGCAGTGCGTAAGGTGTACCGAGAAACGTCGACCATCACGTAAGCAAGGTGGAAAAACAGTGATAATTAATTACTCCGCAGACAAATGACCTCGCACAAATCTAAATCTTGGATTCGTCAACGAAATATCAGCTGGATTCGTATCACGTTTCTATTTCAGAAGATAAAATTCCCTGTGGCCGTCAATTTTAAATATACTTTATTTCATATGAGAGACTTTTGCCCGTCGTGCGTCCGAGGCGAACGCTTGACCACAGAAGCGACAGGTAAAAACAAGTAAAGTAAGAATGAGAGGCGATCCCTTTCTACAGCAGCTGTTGGCAGCTGCCCCGTGCGGCACGCGCCGACGGTCACCACGCATCACGCGAATCGTTAGCACCGGGCCTTAATTTGAAACCCTTCACCTTGCGTCTGTGCACACACCGCACGTTTCTGTCGCTTGCTCGCCACCGCACGTCATGTGCTCGCCATCGAGCTTCTCGCGGCATGGATTATCGAGGAAAAAAAACACTTGTATCTCCCAGAAATAATTTTGCATTGTCAACCTCGCGCGGTGAACGAATCTTCAATTTGAGGGTAAAAAGTATCGTAATGTTAGATTTCTGCTTTTTCATAAATTTAAGTTCAATTTTTTTGCCTCGGTGATCGAATTCGTGAGACGCCCGCATAGAGTGTAGAGAGATCCAGGTTTAAACCCTGGCTAAGGTAATATTTTTCGCAATAAATTTTGTATTATTAAAAATGCCAGGTATGGCCAAGAAGACACTGACATTGTTAATTATCGCTGGCGACATTGAAGAATTCCTATTAGTTGATTAAATTTTTTTCATACGAAATCCGTAGTGCGAACAGAAATTGAGACGCGTGCAACAGTACATTTAGAGGATAATTTTTCATTTTTAAATATTCGTATGTTTCTTACCAGGGTTGGGAAAGTTGCTTTATAAAAGTACCTAATTACTGTTTCTTCGTTAAAAATGTAACTAGTTACGGTTACAAGTTACCAATTCTGTAACGTGTTACAGTTATTACTTAAAAAGCAACGAATCGTTACTTTGCAGTTACTTTTTCGCAATGAAAATAAAAATTTCAAATCTGCATTTGAACCGTAAAGCGTTGATAAAAGCGTTTATGCGTAAATGCAAGACTTGATGCAATCTGTGGAGGTTTAAAAAATATATAAAGCAATTGTTAATATGATTCAGTTAAATTACAGTTACAGACGGAGAAAAAGTAACGAAGTTAAGTTGAAGTTGCCAATAAAAGTAACTGTAACTTCGTTACAAGTAACGAGTTACTTCCCAACCCTGTTTCTTACTTATCACTTTGCGGATCTATGGTTTTGCATCAAAAGACTTGTTACGAGGAGCATTTTCTTTTCATCGTTACACCTTGACGATACGAAGTTGCTCTCGGGAGAAACAGATGTTATTTTCTAAGTAATTCGCAGTAGAGTGCTCATCATTTTATCTCCGAAGTAACATGAGTCATCGTCACATGAAAGGATGCTCGCTGTCAATTTACGGTCGCCGTTACCGAGTACGAAAAGGGTTACGACCCTTCAAAGTGGATGACTATCTTATTAAGTTAGTGCATCGGATAATAAAATCATGGAACGTCACGCGAGTCTCTCGACGGGTTAATTTTCAGAAAAGCGAGCGGACGTAAGTGGAAACAAATAAAATTTTGTTCGTCGGTTAATTTCGAAGTTCGGCGCAACAGAATTTTAATGAAAGATTGTGTTCTCCGCGTCGAAGTGAGTTAGGCGAACCGGCGAACTACAGTTGAGGTTTAATTTCAGCAGAGAACGAGAATACTTCGGTAACAGCGTCAACAAGCAAGAAACATCGATCTTCGGGGCTTCTTCTCCGAAGAATCGCTCCAAGTGGGAGGACCGTTGCATTCCTCAATGAAAATATATACCCGCGAGGGCTTCGCAACAGTCGAGAAGACACCGGCGGTTTTGCCCGGGCAAGATTTATCGATTGGAAAAAACAGCTCGTTTGTAGAAACCGCGGAGCGTTCTTGTACTCGAGCCAAACGCGAGTTCGACGCAACGATCGCTCGAACGGTACGGAGAACTGGCCAGAGTGAAAGGGAGGATGCGCCGTGTTGGGAGCACCCTTTGGCAATTTCCGATATTTCTTTTCGCGGTTCTCTGCCAACCGCGGGCGCGTTGCGAACCGATTATGCGCCGTGGAAACACGGACCTTGCGAACCCGAAGAAACCCAACGGCGTGCCGGTGAACGTTGGTACCAGCCTACGCGGGGTCTAAACGCGCGCGAAGAGCGCGCCGAAGGTATCCTCTCTCGTGGCGCGAATATATTTTTTTCGTTGCGATGCAATTTTTTTTTAGAAATATCGACTCGAGCAGGCAAAAGGCCGGGCGGGGTCCGCTAACGATCCGTAACATCAATGACGGAAGTAACGTTGCGTTCATAGTGCAACGAGTATGAATAGAAACTTCCGGTATGACGAACGGAACGGAAGCGGTAATTGCCGGTCCCTTTTGTGTCCCACTTCTGCTTCTTTTTGCCTTTCCTTTTTTTTTCTAGTCGGCACGCCGATACCGATGAATTTCAAACGGAACAGTCGGGCGACGATGAATGCGCGTGCGGCTTTGACATAGGTAAAACTTTGATGACGTCCATTCGATCGGTCAGTTTTACCAAAAGCTGCTTCTCCGCGTTTCATTTTGACATTTTTGCGGGATAAATGATTGCGCTTTCTTAAAGAACTCGGCTGGTCAGGCGGTGGCAAGTGATTGAAAAATCAAGTAGTCGTCAGTGCCCACCCCCCAGGGGGTCAATTCTGTCTCTTGCAACATAGTGATAAAAATGAGCGGCTTTGTCTCGTTTTAAGGGGACAGTTAGGAAGAGACAAGGCTGCTCACTGTTAGCATTTTCACTGTAGCGCAAGATACAGAAATGACCACCAGAAACGACTTCGAGGATTACTTTCGCGGGAATGATTTGTTTCGCGATTAGTAAAAATTATTTACAAATACGACTACTGTATTATTAATGACTCTGTTACGCCTCTGTAATCACAAAGGTAATTAACGATGAAAGAAGAAGGAAGGAATTTTTTATGCGCGTGCACGAGCGTCTTGAGGGAAGGGTGGCTGAAAAGACTCGCGCATATGAATAGGGCGACGTCGGGTGGCGAATTATTCCTGCCCGATTCACCTGAAGGAACGTGGCCCACTTCCATTTGTCACCGGAAGAGGCGGATACCTTGCGCACGAGAAAAAAAAATTGCAGTAATTTGCGAAGCCAAATGGAGACACGTTCCAAACATTATTACAGGATAAGACGTTTCGTGCTCGTCGCCGATGCACGTACTCCACGGGATTGAATCTTCCCGATTTCTCCGCCTGCCAATATATTGATCGTAAAATATTTATTAAACTCGCCAAGGCTATAAAGAGATTTCCCACGCCTGTACAAACACGTTCTACAAATTCGTACGTTAATAGTCGGCAGATATTAATTAGTTGGAGGAGAAAGAAAGAATATCGAGTGACGCATTTAAGTGTAATACAATTCAAATGAGGAGTACGTGCACTCGAGAACACGGGGGGAGAGACTCGAGGGTATAATATTCCGTGTCCTATTATATTCATAGCCCTTCTGCTATTTTCGATACTTCGCGATGTTATTTCCGCTTTCAACGTGCTCGGGCGGACCGCAAAGTCCCGATATTTAGAGGAAGGCACCGCCAAAATTGCAACAGGCAGTAAACCTGCGGAGTCACGCCAGGCTGGGTCCCCCTCGCTCCCCTCTCCACGGGTGTGTGCGTGTAATACGTGTGCGCGGGTGTGCGTGAGACTTCCGAGCGCGCCAGCCGGTTCTACTTCCCGGAGGAAGACACTGGGTTACCCCGAGGGTGAACCCACAGTCGCAGCTGCTTCGAGAACCGCGATAATTATCTTCGGTCGCTACGCACCCCATTGTTCCATGAACACTCCGCCCTCCGCATATCCCATAAATCGGAAGAGGGCACGCACCTGGACGGAGGGGGAGGCGAAAGCATATTCTTGTAACTATTTTGACGTCGCGAATAAATTGCGTTAGACATTCTCGACGACATGCCTCGCGTTCAAAAGCGGAGCAAACTCGACCGTTTTCGCGAAAAATTTTCAACGTCACACCGAACATAGAATATCGTGTAAAATGTCAAAATTGATTTTTAAAAAAAAACGAAGTTGCGGCAATTGTGATCAATTTAGTACAACGTTTCATCGTCGAGTATTTGTGATACAAAGTAGCGTGTCGCGTAATCGCGCTAACGAGAGGGTGGAAATTACCGAATGAAGAGTCGACAGAGTTCGGGAAAATGAGAGAAAAACGGACGGTAATTGAGTAGCGCGATTGTGCCGTCTAACTAGGCGACCCGGTAGCGCTTGTTAAAATTTTGTATTCGCTAGCGAACGAGTGTCCTGCGTTTATTCAGTGAGAAGATATGAGAGGATATCGCGACAATTGCATCATTGCTAAAGGAGACCGTGTTCCTCGAGTTCCCTTACGATGCTAATGAGACCCGGTACCATTCGAGACTCCATCAGTCACACGCATAAGATACCCCACCAGCCGATTCTACGTATCCGTAGTCTCAAGGCGCCGTTCGCCAAACAGATCCTTCCACGTCGATAGTTCACAATGGCACAATGAAAATACGTGAAACTTGAACGAGTTCGTGCCCTTCCCCCGCGATGCCGCGCCAACAATTGGACATTTCGCGTCCCTTTTTCCTTTTCTTCCCGCTTCCCTTTGCATCCCGTCTCGCAGCTCAAGCCGCACCAAGCACATTCGCCGTATTCTTCTCCGAAGCTACGTGGATGCGTTACAAAGTGCCGTCTCGCAAATAATTTCCTTCTGTCGTCATCTGCCAGGTCGCCGCGCCGATACCGTAATTTACCGATATGCGCGAATCGCACGAGATAATTGCATCTGATGCTAACGTTGGCGCGGAGTAATAATACCTTTTCCTCGCGTACGCGACAATAGCTTTGTATGCAACTCTCCCCCACCTTTTCTTTCTCTATCTCTGCTTCTTTCCGCCCGTTTCACGCACATTGTTACGCACGTTCCTCGTGCTTAAGCGGAGGCGTAGGGACGCGAAGGAATCGCCGAGAAGGGCATCGCGAAAATCGCGCCCCGAGCGGAACCGCCGCCTCCGGGTTCCCAGGCCATGCTAATGAGCCTCATAAGACACGGTGTACCCCAGTGAACCGAATAACCCGCTGACACACGCGTAACGTGCGAGTGTTGGCGTACGTGCGCGTTCGAGCCTCCACACGCGCAACACTCGCGAGTAACACACGCGCGATCGTAGATTTTGCGCTCGACTTTTCGCACACTCTACCAGCGTGCGCACGCGAGTACTCTGCGATTTAATGCGTCGCAAAATGTATAACGAGACGTATGTTAGTTACACAATGAAACACCGCGCGATAATTCCGACCGTTTTCTGTAACAATTCATCGATCGACCCAACGTTTCTCGAGATAGCCGAACTTGTTTCGCTTTCTCTCCCTCAGCGACATGTTTTAGAGAAGTAAATGTCGATATGTAGTGGAGAAGTGAATAGTATTATTCTAAAGTTGTAATTAATCATACTGTACTGTATTGGCATTCTTTGAAAACATCTACTATAATACACACGATTTGTATTATTGTTGTATCTAACTAAAACTTTATATAATCAATAACACCGAGAATTATCATTTACTAAAGAAATATTTAAAAACTAATAGATTTAATTTTTGCAAAGTGTTTAAGACTGAAGTGCGTTATTTCTTTCGACGAAATTTATGAATAACTGCAGAAGAAGAAATATTGTAATTTATGAGCGATTTCTGATTCCCACGAATCACATTTCGTTTACAGATAAATATCGCATAAGTATCCGAGCAATTTTAATATTTCCGGTTCAACCCTCGCGCAAGACAAGCCCTCTCATTTTTTCTTACCATCGTTTTAGCCACATCCCGTTGTTAGGCGAAAGCGCGCTTTACGGATGTGAGAATTGATTTTATCCGCGGGTGATATTTTAGCCAGGCGAATCACGTAGTAATAATTATCGTGAAACCTATCGAAATTCTCTGCTTTCGCACGACAATTGCTACCTCGGCCCTTCTCCCTCGTCCTGCGTTCACGCCCTCGAACGCATGCAGCCGATAATTAATCCGATGTCTCGTTTAACAGGGCTCTAGTGGCAGTCGAAATTACGCTACATCCGAGATCGTGCGACGCGGAGATTTCAAAGAATTCCACGGCGCAAGTAAACGGGATAAATTGGAAACAAAAGAAAAGGGATGATACAAATAAAAAGAATAAGAGAATAAATCGTTGTCTTTTTAACGGCGATGGTTCTCATTCAATTGTCTTCAAAGCGATTCGAATGTTATTAAAAAATTTTCGTCGTTCCTGCGGATTATGCACTTAAGTTTTCCGGCGCGAAATTTGCCCATTTACGTTCTGATAAGAAACACAGATCTATCGAACGCAATCCTCTTTCAAATGAATAACTCAAATCGATCGTAATCAGTTACGCGATTTGCTCCTATATCCAGGTAAATATAACTAGCCACTCCTTTCTTGCAATAATATATATTTTTTTGAAGATCCAAGTGGGTGAACGTCCAATCGTTACGGAAAGAAGTCCCGCATACGTACCTTAATTAATACAGCCAGCGTGTACACGATAACAATTGTCAGTATCGCGCATCGATTGCGGATTAGCTTTCCGCGATTATCCATTGTCTCTCGAGTTCTAATCTTCGTGCTTCGATCTCGCCACTTTAATCGGAATCACTTCTCTTTTTCCTCGAGAATTACGTTATACTCATAACATCTTCTGCGGCGGAGTATTCAAATCGAGGACGAACGATCTCCGCGCTCTGACGTCTGATTAAAAAAATAAAGAGCGAAGCAATTCGCGACGTTTGAATTAACAAACGCAGGCGGAATCGATTTTAATCGGCACTCAGAGTACGGGGTAAAAATATTTCCGCGCGATCGAGGAGCAGAACTTGATTCAGTTGACCGTCACAGTGTTACCTCGGTGGAGGTTCAACGTGAATTGAAAGGAGCTGCATCGGTGCAGCTGTTACTGTTGAACACGCGCCCGGTCACGTGGCTCCTCTCGTGTCCCTCCCCGCCTTTAGGACGCTCCCGACCAAGCGAACGAATTTTTGTACGGTGACCATTGCATGGACAGACCGCTGGATTCACATTTGCGGCACTGAACCTCTGTTACATTTACATGAGTTCTTTCACATGACGTTCGGCAAAAATTCAATCACATGGTGATCGAAAATCAAATGATATCCTTGCTCATGCGTCCCCCCTTGGGAAAAATATATCTTAGAAAATCTTAAAATTTTACTTTAAAAAAATAAGAAATTTAAAAATTCGAACACTAAACTTTTATTTAAGGGGAAGTTAAAACTCACTTCAAGAATTTAAAAGAAAACTTTAAAAATTGTGAAAAGTATGTGATATAATTTATAATATCGCGTGCGGTTTTCTTCTTACGAAAAAGTGCTATGCCACGCGCCCCTCTAGCGGAAACTTCGACAGGCTTGGCTATCTAAAAATTACTTTGAGTGTCCAAAGTTACTTTAAAATTTCTTGAGTAAACTTTTAACTTCTTTAAGTAAATTCGTCGATTTGAAAGATTACTTTTAAAAACTTTAATTTCGTTTAAAGTAAATTTTCCCAAGGGGTGCAATCGAATTTTCGTAACTAAATGTATTTTCTTCGATCGGCTGAGCTTTAATTTTATTTTGAATATCTTATAAAATAACTTATGCAATGTGTGTTGTACACACATATATACATTTGTTTATAAATGTACAGCCGGTCGGAATTAGATTCATTTTCGGATTTGCAATAATTTTCATGACGCTTAATCTACCATTTTTTTACAAATGTGAGAAAATAAATTCCGGAAAATCACAATACTTTCAAGTGTTTTAAACAAAATCGTCTCGACAGTTGTTATTAAATATTAATATTATATAATTAAGAATTTGAATTTTGAACCTAATAGATAAACTATCGAAACAAGTGAAACAGCTTATCTCTTGAAAACGATATGTTCGATTTCGAGAATCAGCATTTACCGCGGTTGTAATTATCTTGCACTTATTTTACCGACAGCTGAACACCTCGTAGTTCGTTGCTACCACTATTCTACATTAAAACAAACAGCCTGTAAAGCAGGTGTTCGTTCCTTCGCAACTGGACAGAGGATATTCAAGACGTGCGAGTGTGTCGAAAAAATTTGATCCACGAAAAACATAATTACAAGCATAACTTGAAAGACATCTTTCTAAGGCAAATTACGCAATTATATGCAAAAGTGAAAATGTAATAACGTCGATAAGGCTCGATGTAATATAAATGGAATCGTACTATATTTCAACCTCAATTGCAGTCTTGTTTCACGTACAATGCCCGATAATGCAATATTTTTCCCAACGTGGAAATATCGGAAAATAATATGTTCTCTCCTTCTTGGGACCTCGAAGCATTCCGTTCACAACAGATATGATCGAGAAATAGAGAAATGTCTAATTTAGAACTTGATTTCATGTTCTGTTGAACGAGCGTTTCCCATACATAAATAACAGCTCGCCCGCGCCCATCATATTACATGGTTTCCATTATATCCTATTCTATCAACCACCTATTATATATACGAGCTCGTTGCTCGACAGTGAAATCGTGAAAGACATTCTACGAATTTCGAAAAAATATTAAGAGTTCCTATAGCGCTTTTCCAATACAACTACCGTTAGAACTGCAGAAAATCATCAGCACGACACATTTCCACCAAGTGTCGTGCTGGACCCCAGAATTAAAAATTGTTTAAAAAATACGTATGGTCCGAAACTGTATTTAAAACTATTACTAGTTTTCAAAAAGAAGCGGGAACTCCAGTCAGAACTACAAAATTTTAAAGTTGGAGTGCAAAGTTAACACACGCCCTAAACCAATGGTATCCCACTTGATTCTTGCGGGGAATTACTCAGAAAACTCTCCTATACATATCTAAGCGGCGACGATATTAGTGAGGTGTTACCCTTTTTGCATATTTACCTTTAATTAATTAAATGTTATTATAATATAATTGGTACGACGTTTCGACCCAAGTAATTCTTATCCACCCCTGTAAAGTTAACCCCCCCATTATTTAAAAATTTAACTTTTTTTACGAGTTCCCTATAGATTTACAATAGTTCCAGAGTTCTTGATGGGTTTAAAAAATAGCTCTGCCAATTAAAGACGTTAAAATGAATTTTTTTAAATGGGGGCTAACTTCACGCAGCCCCCCATTTTCGTAAAAACTAATTTTTTAATGGAGTTCTGAATAGATTTCGTATAGTTCTAGAGTTCTTGATACATTTTAACAACAGTTCTGCACGAGAAAGTAAAAAAAACCGAAGTTGAAGAATCAAGAAACAGTACCCCAGAAATAGGCATAACTATAAAAGTATTAATGTAATGGAATTTTGCAATTAGATTTTCGATAGAACTCTGCGGGGGCTACCGGGAACTCTCAACAGATTTGCCGGAACTGTTCAAAAATTTTTTCGAGTCTTATAAGACAGAAACTGACACCTAAAATCACCCATAACTTTTTCCCCTTTAATCACACAGACTTTTGCCATTAGGATTTTCGATAGAATTTCACAGGGAATTCTTATCCCAAGGTCCTTATCAAGTAACCGAACTGCAAACCACCATGTCACAATTTTTTGAAGGTGGTAAGAAATTAAAAATTACCAGAGTGTACATGCATATGTAAAAGTTACCTCGTGTGTGTGCATAAATGTTTGCAGAGTATAAATTATAGCAGACTCACAGACCACAGTCGACGCAGAAAATCATTAAACAGTTGAACAGTTCAACACGGAACTTCATAAAGCGCAAACGTGCTCACTTAAGTTAAAAATAATTTTTCTGACGATTAATGTGCTATAATTTATGCTCTGCGTACATCCGTTCACGAGGTAACTTTTACATATGTACACTCTTAGGGCAATCACTTACAAAATTGCAAAGCTGCATATGCATAGCACAAGGCCGTCTAGACCAATAAGCATGTTATGTAAATCAATATGGCGAAAATTGGTTTAAACGGTTTTCATGCTATACATGTGCAGTAATACATGTGCTATAAATGGCTATGCAATTTTGTGTGCGATAGCCATTCTCGTAATTTATAATTTCTTATCACCTTCAAAAAATTGTCACAAGTTGATTTGCTGTTCGGTTACTTGATAAGGACCTGATACTTGAGTAAAAACGTGGTATCAATTTTAACATTTAATAAATTATATTGCCAGTTGAATCAGCAAGAAGTTTTATTTCAATTAAAGTATTTATTAAGATGAGTATTGCCATATGCTTCAGTAGTCAAATTGATAAGACTCCCGCCTAGAGGGGGGGGGGGGGGGTCCAGATTCAAACCCTGGCTGAGGTAATATTTTTTATAAAGAATAAGGTCTATGTCTTACGTGACACAGCTATAGATAAAATTATTCAGTTACACCAAGGAACCCTTATAACCGCATTGTAGCGCTGCAAGTCGACTACAAAAGCAGTTTTAGCCAGTGCCGGTTTTAGGATCAGTTTGTCTCTAGGTAAACTTTGGTTCACCTTCCATATTTTATAATTTAAAATGAGAAGGTATCAAACAACTAAAAATTATGTTAAATTTTTTAATTTTCTACTCACTCCGTAAACAAAAAACAAGAATAAAATATGAAAAAAATGAAATATATAAATCCAAATCAATAAAATATCAATTTTTTTATACGCTTCTTTGGTACGTTTATAATTTAAGAAAAAATTGCAACAAAACAAAAAGTTAAAAATTGTGTTTGCATCTTAAATCTGGCACCCCCTTCTCTTGTGACGCCCCTAGACAATTGTCAATGATAACTAAGTGTAAGTGGACTTCAGCGGCAGTTTCCATCAGTTCTTCGACAGTTCACACTCAAGATCTAGATACACCAGCATGTAGTTAACTACAAGTATCAACGTAAGTAATGGTATCTAACAACAAGATAGCCAAACTTGCTAAAGCAAATTTCACCAAATGCTTGTCCTAAAAGTTTGTAAGCAACGAGCACTAAATTTCAAACTCTATTATATCAGACGTTGTCGACAAATTATAAATTGAAATACGAGAAAATTTGCTGGCATATCGTGACAACAAAGTGTCGCCGGAAGCCGAGCAAGCTCTGTTCCATACGAGTAAGCTTTGTTCAGAATTTGGCGACAATTTGCTATTATCAAACCGTGTTGCGCAAACCTTGCTCAATTTTTGGTGTCAATGTGCTGTCAAATTATGTTCACAAGTTGTGCCAGCAAAACACGAACTGATCGTGGACATAGATGCTATACTATTTGGAACCAAGTTTTGAGTGAATTTGATATTAATTTTTTGGCAATTTACTGACAAATTACTGGGATTGTAAGTAAAAAAATTAATTGTTTTTTGCAGAATAATTAGAAACTGTGTATAAAATTGGTTGTTCTTAAGAGAAATAGTCACGTACGCGAAGTGCGCGCTTGTGTTGTCCTAGTATTTAAAAATTACAATTATTAACCCATACATACAATCAACTTTCATCACTCATGTTTCGAAATGTACCTCATGTTTTAAATATGCCCCGATAGAAAATTTCTCAAATATTGTGTAATAATTGCATCATCCAAAAGGAGAAAATTTCACAATGATTGCATTAAGGTGACTCGCCAAAACGCAGCTGTTTTGCTGACCAACTATTTAGAAATACATTGTGCAAGTATTTATCAATATTTGATGAAACGTCTCTACTTTCGCATGTGTTAATTGTTCGAATTTTTTACGCATAATTCTAGCATTCCAAGTTTCATCCAGATTTCGTCACATAATTCTCTAAATATTTTCCTATCGGGGTACCTAATTTAAAAAGGATTATATAGATTATAGACAATAAATCAGCAGAGTTTATAAAACTCGTAGATTTTTATTTTAGCGTTGTCACCATTTCAAACGGATATGCAATATTTGTGGTAGATAACAAGAGTGGTGACTGCTCCAAAAAAAAAATAAAGGATCGATGAAGGAAGGCCAATGAGAGCCAATAAAACGCGGAACACAGTGCGTGGTTTAAGTTTAACTGTGGAAAATATATTCTTTTGTTCAAACGTTTCGACCCATGTTCGGGTCTTATTTAGTGATCTGATAAAGAGAATATTATATGGTAATGAACGTGAAACAGAAATTATCGTGGAATCAGCGTAATCGACACGATAAAATTAAATCCAAGAAATTTAAACAACGCTGTATTCCGCGCTTTATTGGTTCGCATTTGAGGTAGAATTATCATAATCATTTCCTATTGCGTCACGGCCATTACTTATGTCATTATGTAAAAAAGATGTACAAAAGTCAAGTACGCACGCAGAAAGAACAAATATATAACTTTGTGTATAATTTAAAAAAAACTGCGATTTAAAAAAATACTCAAATCTACCTTCTCTACAAATGGAATGATATAAAAAAAATGATATAAAAAAACCAACTATAAAAATAGTCTTAAAATGTTATATCCAATGATTATAGAATATTATAGAATACAATTTTATATAATGAAAGTTTTGAGTGTATTGTTTTACATACCAATATTAGATGTATGTTACTAAAACATAAAAATGTGTAAATCTATACAAAATTAAACCTTCTACATTCAATTAAATGTAGTTAAAGATGTTTTGGAATACTTTTCTAAAATTCTTGAAGATGCGTACAATCAGAATTTCAATTGAATAAAAGATTTTATTCGAAGAAATAAAGAAGATAATAATATTAAGTAGACAGATATTAATACAAATAACACAAATAAATATTTGATTCTAAATTTTTGGCACTGCTAAACTGAATAGATTTGAGTACTTTTTTTACCGAAATTTTGTTCATTATATATTTATTCATTCTACGCGTATACTTGGCTTTCTGTACCTTTTTCATAAAATTTTGTTAAGATTATAATAACGAGTAACGATAATGAATAGCTTATTCCCACAGAACAACTTAATATGCAGGACACGACAAAGTTAATGATGTCAAGTCGAGAAAATCAAAGTAGCGAGGACATCGATAAATACGCAAGAGATGCAACTGAACGGTATGAACTTGCAGAGGCAAGGAGCGCCGTTAAATACATGGAATGTTTTGTGAAAAATATGAAGCATATTGTCGATCAGAATTCTGCGAAACCGGGGGATTATGATAAATGGACGGACAAAGAAAAATATGAACATGTAATAGATAACCTAAACACATATGCACCAAGTGTACCGGACTCCTTGTTATTCCTCATATCGGGCTCATTGCATCGAGGAGATTGCAATCGAAATTCAACGGACAAACCGCTCTGGTTAGACATGGAAAAGTTCCAGAGAGGTCAAAAGTTCGCTCAAGATTACATGTTTTCGATTTTTTTCGCTAACGTGTTATCGCTTTTCCTGATATACGCTTACCCAGACAGTATCAAACCGCTAATCTTGAGCCAAAAATCTCACACGCCGTATTTAGCATTCAAGAGGTACACGACGATTCAAATATTATGATTTATTGTTGCGTCTCTACTGAGAAACTCACAATCAGCTGAAGCCGGTACTGAGGCCGGTATTTACAGTCGGAACTTATATTCAAGGCCGTCTTGAATTTATCTAAAGATGCTGTACGGAACATTTCTTGGCTACGTATCTAAAGATGATCTTGAGACTGTCTTGAATATAAGATCTGACTATGAATATTGGTCTAAGACAATCGTTTGAAGATGAATCTCGAGAGTCAATTTAATATTAGTAGAGTAAAGTTTCCTATTATGGGATAGGCTCCTAATATGAAATAGCGGAGTTTCTGCTAAATTAATAGGCATCATCTATCGGTTCCACCACGAATTTATTGCCCTTGGAGTAAAATCCATTTAGTGGAAATTGATTGATAGATCGTGTAATCGTTGCGAAAAAAAATTTGTAATTTAATTTCGACGTTGAAAACCTACTATCTCGTATTACTCCTATCTCATAATAATGAACTTTCCTCTAAATTCACATTTATAATCGCGAATCAAGGGACAAACTCCGATAAAGCCTATTTTGAGACACAGTCTGAAGTCTTTTTTTCGCGAATCAATTCGAGTTTTGAAAAAACTATCATGTATGGATTATTATATCTTGGGATTTATTGTTACATTTTTGCTGAATTCTCAATTAAATCTTAAATTGGCAAAAATAAGAAAAAACAAGGGAATAATTATATTTTTTCAATATTACCTCGTCTGATTCTGAAACAAATGTCCTTATTTATTTATACTTTCGAACACGATTATATATAATTCCATATATTTAAATTTAACATTATAAATTTATAGTAATTAATTTTAATTAATACTATTTTTAGTACTCGTATAGCGACATTTCTTGATTGCGAAAAAAAGCAAGTTGATTTACATTCGATTAGAATATTTAGTAAGTATCTCTTTGGCATAGGTCAGAGTTCTTAATGAATATTCGATTATCATTGAAGGTATTTGTCTACGGCTTGTCGTATAAAGAATTGGATGACGGAAAATATGTGGTCCGTGGATACGCGAGCTTACAAGGATATACAAACTGTGCGTAGAATGCATCGTGCGATACGATTGAAACTTTGCGAGAGCGACAATGGGGAGATCGACGAGGCCAGTAAAATTCAAAAGCCATGGTGTCCGAATATAGAAACAATTTTAAAAGATTTTTCTTCTTGCCCGAACATAAAAAATATATGTGTAGATATTCCGAACGTATCTAAAGGATTGAATCAGAGTGATATGGCAGCCACTCAATTCTCTTTCGTCAGGATACTTCTGCTGTACCCCCACGAACTCGGTATTCATGCTAATGAGGAAGATTTAGAAGCGTTTTGTCACGTGTGGAGAAGTATAGGATATCTTCTTGGCATAGAGGATCAGTAAGTATCGTATATATAAATTCACACATCATCGTGTGCGACGAAAATAGTATGTAGGAAAGTCTCCTATTATATGAGGTAGGTTCATAATATGAGATAACCGAGTTTCTGCTAAATTAATAGGCGCCATGGCTCCAGCATGGATTTATTGCCCTTGGAGTGAAATCTGTTTAATGGAAAATTGATTGTTAGATCGTGTGATCGTTGCGGAAAAAAAATTGGCCGTTGAATTTGGACGTTAAAAACCTATTATCTCATATTAGGATCCTATCTACATTTTGTAAGGAGGGTAAAGATAATATAGAGCACTATTTAAAGGATTGTAAATCGACGAAAGACTGGTTTTTAGAGTTAGGTAATAGTATGGAAAAGAAGTTGGAAAGATTATATAACGATGTAATAGATGAAGATAAAGGAAAGATATTATGTAAATTATGGAAGGAAAAAGAAAGGCAGAAAAAGATGAGCTAGTCATTGTAGAAATAAGAAATTAGAAGTAAGAAATAAGAAGTGAAAGAGTTTAGGGGTACAGATTAGAGAGGGTATGAATGAGAGTATGGATGAATGAGTGGTTAAGGAATTTTTGTAAACCAAGTCCCACTTTCTGGCTGTAAGCTAAAGGTAATAAAGCATATATATATTAGGATCCTATCTGATAATAGTAGACTTTCCTCTAATAATAGAATCTACAATGTGAATAATAAATCTGTTTGCAACAGTAACTATGATGGATAACGATAACTTCTTAATTTCTAACTAGTAAGAATATTCTTAATAAAAGTCGCCAGCAGTGCTCTCTCTGTTCTTAATTTTTCTTCCTTTAATTTTAAACGTTTCTCTCGAAATTTAAATTTAAATTTATGATGCATTTTATCCACTGTTATCCAGTACTTTTACTTTCCAACTGTCCCTCTCATCTCGATTTTCATTTATACATTACTCTCTAAAATTTGTGGAGTGAAAATACTGCCATGGAGTGAAATGTTCACCCTATTGGCGTGAATATTTCCTCCAACAGAGTGAATATTAACTCCAATGGAGTAAACATTTCACTCCATGGCAGCATTTTCACTCCACAAATTTTAGAGAGTACGTTCTATTGGTATAAAATAAACTTTTCCATCACCCGAGTATTTTCTTTACTTGTTGTCTATGTCTCATTCAAATTCTTATATTTGACTGCAAAATAAATGATTTAGATATAATTTCTGCCGCGGCAGTCTGCAGGAAGTTAAGGAAAGATCGCACGAATTTATCGAGTTTGGGCTGAAACCCTACTTGCGACAAGCAACGCCCGAATGGGAACATATGATGAGATGCATTACGGAATTTTATAATAGCAATTCAAGCGCATTCCAGATGTTACTACTTCTAGTCACCGATTTATTAAATATTGATATGCCACGTCTGCGGAAAACGCTTTCTTATTCTGAACGGTTTTATCTTATTCTTCAACGGTGAGTACACCACAAGCCAGATAAATACATACAAGTATCCTCTGATATCCATTAGATTACAAGTTAAGAAACTGTATTGTTATGAACAAATTTTACGTTTAAATTATCAATTGTAATATTTCTTGAAAATAATCAAAGATTAAGTATTTCCTCAATTTTATTTGTTGACCGTTCTGACGTGATTCAAAGAAATGAATCATTTATTAGCAAAATTTAATATGACGGAGACGAAAAATATAGTTTTCTAATTGTAATCGCGTATAGATTCAAATATGTGAAAAATAATGAAATAAGCTACCGAGTCCAATTTATAGGACCATTAAAGTGAAAGAATTAAAGAGCAATAGGAAATTTTGCTGTATTTTTATTGCTTATCCTATTTAAAAATTTGTACCTAGTAATAATTATAATAATTTATCTCTATAATTTCAGCTTTATATTTCGCTATGCCATGAAGTTACGATTCGTACGAGAGTATATGAACAAATTGGCTTATAAGTCACTCGAGAAAGGAGTCAAATGTAGACCAGAAACACATGAAAAACTAAAGAAAAAATCTGAAGAGGCTTTAAATAAGGGTCGACAACAATTGTATGAAGACTCGAACTAATATACTCGAAGAAATTAATATATGTAGGGGAGACCGGGGCGAAGTCGTCATCGGGGCGAAGTCGTCACTATAGTTATCTCGAAATCTATATGTCATATAAATTTGTTGTTAATATTATAAACGCTATTTATCATGTCTACGTAATCAACGGAGTTTAGTAAAATTATATATCATGTTATGATTTTTATTACAACAAACGTATTTTCAGAAGTCAAAAGTGAATTTTTTTCCGTATCGAAAGTTTTTAATATTTTAAATATTATTGTTTCTTAAAATCTCGAGATAAGTTATTCTAAAGAGTAATGCATGCTGAACACGAATCTAGTGAAGTTTTTTCAGTTTTCTTTATTTATATTTTATAAGCGATTAAACTTGAAATCTGTGTCCGGGGTGAAGTCGTCATCAAGCGACCGGGGTGAAGTCGTCACGGTGATGACTAAAATCGACTATTGCCACTGCGTCGAGAAAGAGAGGCCGGCCCCCAAAAAATGTCACGCAATTACAACCGCAGCCTTCAACGAGCAGTGGGCAAAAATCGAAGTCAAGGAAGCAGGAGTGGTCCGATTCCGACAGTGATGACAAAACAGAAAAATGATCTTCTTCTAATTATTTTCATTGTATTTTTAATTAATGTTAATTAATGTAAATGTTGAAATTTGTCTATTAAAAAATAATTAATAAAATGTATTCTATTGTATTTCATGATCGGAATTATATAGTTTCATTTAAAATCTAGTCCGAGAATGGAGTGACGACTTCGCCCCAAAGGGGTGACGACTCCGCCCCGGAAATTTTGACATTTCAGTTTTTGCACCTTTGTCATTTTTACTCTATACCAATTGAACAAAGCGATGTAGACCAAAAATACATAGAAAACATTATAGCCGAGGATTCACTTTTTACAACGGTACATCACATTTCACTAAAATTATGTATTTTGTTGTTAAAAACCGGCATCGAAAAAAAGGTGACGACTTCGCCCCGGTCTCCCCTACTTATTTACACATGATGACAAATTACAAAAATTGTAAAATTTACGTAATTAAAAGCAAGCAGTTTACTTATTATGTAAGGTAATAATTTCACCTGCAAGGTGTAAATTTACTGACGTATGTAAATATACACCTTTAATGGTCCCAATATTACCCACTATAATAATTGTAATTTCACATGTAATTCTTTTACAGTGTAGAATGGCTGTTCTCTACTCTTAAGACAATGTTTTATGTTTTAAGTCTTTGTCTGAAAATATTATAATACACAATAACTGTCTCGTGTCTCAAGTCTTAAATATGTATACGAAGATAACGTTGGTGAAGAAGAAACATATGTAAACGAGATGGTAATTATTAATAATTGTACAATAAAAGTGTTACTATCTCGTGAATAGATGAATATTTTTAAAATATTTTCTGGAAATTACAAGTCAGCTATTCTTCTAAGGTTCTCCCAGATAACTATATTTTTACGCGCAAATTTTGCTTCTCTTACGCGTGCAAATTTGTACGAGATTTGCCCGTGTTTTTCGCTGCATCAATTTTCCTACCTACCCGCGTTTCAATTTTTTCTTAATAAACCTACAAGTCTTTCGTTGAAACCGCGACGCGATTTATACACTGAC